AAATGATAAAAAAATTAACACCAAAAATAAAGAAACTGGTGTTAAGTCCATTTATATTGGAGGAGACACTGATGTTGCTAATAAAGATCTTGAGAAATGGGATAAATCTTTAGAAGATTATACTAAATGGAAAATTGTAGAATTTCGTGATGTAGTCTCGATTTTTGAAATTCTAGACAGTAACCTTCGTAGACGTGTTCTTGGTATTTTAGGAGAAAGAATTGTTTACGCTAAAGTCGATCAACGTAACTTAACATTTTCAAATCAAAAACCATATATTCATGAATTAGATGTACCAGAAAAGTATAAAGGAAAACTTGATGATTATAAAATTTTCGCATCAATAATAAGCGAAAAAAAAGGTACTTTTTTCGTTCGGGTTGTGTATAAAGTAGACTCTGCAGATCTCCTCATCCATCAATTCGGAAAGGATAGTAGGCTTGAATATTCTTTGAAAATAGTATGGATAATCATTGGCATTCCAAATGATTTTAACTTGTTTGACTTGAAGGATTTTAATATGAGTGAATTAGAAATAAAACTTAGCGGCCAAGTTTCAAGTAATAAACTTCAAGAAATTCACGACCTTTATGATAAATACGATGGAGATACTTATCCGATAGTTACTTGCGCATTAAAAGATAGTGAACGTGACCTACATGATTTAAAAATAGTTACTGGAATACACTTTTATCGCACCAATGATAACCATTTAAACATGTGCGTCCATAATTATGATTTGGAAAATAAACGTGAAATAATTGAAAAGAATCTTTCTGTTCAATATTGGTTAGTTTTACATTATTACTTATATATTTATTATGCACGTTACACGTAAAATAATTTTTATTATGATTTTTAATTTTGCTAATTCTATCCACAGCATTGTCCATTGTGGTCATGATTTTGTGGCTCAAGGAACATTGGATAATTCGTTCATTAAAGGAGGAAAAAAAAGAAAAAAAACAACGTGGAAATGCAATCAACCAGCTTTTACAAGTCTTTTTCATACTAGTTGTATTTCAGGAGGATTAAAGATTACTCCTGATAATGCTGTTTTTAAATCTTTTAGAGATGGCATTTCTTTTGATAAAAATGAAGTGCCTGCACTACACTATATAAGTATTTCTCAAAAGAATACATAGTGATTTAGGAAACTGTTATTGACACCGCTATCGAAGTTCTATTTTCTTTCGTCTTATGAAATGTCAAATGAATATAATGAATATAATGAGTGTATCAGGAATAACAAATGTTATTGTAAAAAACTGTCGAATGGATGTGGAATACAATATATGCTATACAATATCAAATCCAAACTCTATATATGTTAAGTGATTATTGGTTCAATTATTTGAGTCTAAAATATTTATCGTTATCAATCATCTCCTTAATTCAGTTAATAAATATACTCTTATTATAATTTTATATTTATCTATCGTTTTCATTGTCACTTCTCATTTTTAACTTAGAATTAATGTGCGTACGTACGTACGTACGATGATTATGAATAACGTTAAGATTCTTCCGATAAAGTGTGTAGAAATTACCAGCACAAGAAGTTTTTTAATATATGCGGTTGTTACACCCGAACTACCTCTTTAAAGTACGGGATAACTAAAGACGATAATAATTGAATGTCTCATGTATGACTTTAATACATGCATATAATTACTATTAGCGTTAAAGTGAATTT